GACCGGGCCCTCGGGGGTCGCCCAGCCGGGTCTGTGGCAGGCCCCCGCCTTCCCATTCCTCCCTGTTCCATCGCCCAAGGGGGCACCCCGACCCTAGATTCCCTCTGGCTGCTTTGCCACCCGGCCTGGCTCCTGCCCGGCCTCCCGGGACTCCTCCCGAATGGACCCCGCCCTCTCCTGGCATCCCCACCTTCTGTCTGGGGCCGGGGCCACCCTCTTCCCCTCCCTGAGCTGGGCCTTCTGGACCTCAGCCCTGGGCCTTCTCTTGTTGATCTGACCGAATCCGGCCTTGCTGTCAGTTTCCCTGTGAAAGTCACAGACTCTTTTCCCAGCCTTGCCAGCTCCCGTGGGCTGTACATATGTTACATAGATGTGGTATGGATCTCTTTAGATATTATTATTTCCCAATATACTCGGCACGTGTCAAACTCGGTTGTCACCTTCTGCCAGGTAAAGCCGGTATAGTAACCCTTGGCGCTTCTAGTTTGTCTTCAACACACATGTTCATTTGTACTCCAGATACACACATTGTGTCCCAGCCTCTACGTCTTGTGAAAGTCCTGTTTAATGTGTCTTCAAGTGTATTTTTCATCCTCTCCTCCCTCCTCACCCCCCAGTAACTGGTCACAACTTCTAGCCCTGCAGGACTACATAAAATTACTGCCTGTTCCTAAATTCAATCCATTCCTCTGTCTGTTGGAACCATCTGGGGACTTTCCTTCCATTGGTAAAATATACCTGAGTTTGGGATATTTTCTGTTTCTGTATTGGCAAGGCAGTCTTTCTCAAACTCTTTGGGGACAGTGTGCAACATCCTACAGTTTACCCCTTGAATAGACACTGTGAAGCTGGTTTCACCCAGGAAGCCCAGAGAAGTGCCTGGAGGTGGTCTTTTTTGTCACCTGTAAACTGAGTTGATTCTGTTGGCTTGGAGTCTGGCTGGCTCCTTACTCTGTCAGCCCTGTCTTGGGCAGATGGACGTGTAAGTGGGGTTAGGGAGCATTGTCTGGTTACATCTTCAACTCTTTATTTTTCTCCATGCCTCCCCCTTTATTTTGAATTGTTTCATGCATGCAAAATTATATATGTCCTAGAAAGGATTGTAAATTAAAATGACAAGAAGTACATCTCTGTACTTGACTCAGCTTGAGAAAGAGCATTACAATTGTGTTGAAGCCCTCGGGGTGCCACTTCCTGATCACATCCCCTTCTTCCCCCTACAAAGGTAAACATTATTCTGAATTGTGTGTCTATCATTTCCCTGTCTTATAAAATTAGTTTTACTGACATATTTGCATCTCTAAGCTATGTTTTTTAGTTGTGGATGTTTTTGGAAGTTTATATAAATGCTATCATACTGCATGTGTTCTGTGGCCTATTTGTGTTTGTGTCTGTGTGTGTGTGTGTTTAAACTCAACGTTAAGTTCGTGAGAATCATCAGTGTTGTATGGTGGCTCTAAATATTTTCACTGATGGGTAGAATTTCATTGTGTGAATATATCATAAAGCTCCTTTTGATGAACATTTGGGTTGTTTCCTGTTTGTTAATACAAACAGTAATGCTGTAAATATTTTTGTCCAGGACTCTTGGTGCTCCTTGCAAAAGTTTCTTTAGGATGTCTTTATATGTAGGGGTGGAATTGCTGTTTGAGAGATATACGTCTGGAACATTTTTAGATAATGCTGAATTGTTTTCCATTAGCCCCTCTCTACTCTTCGTGTCCCTTGTGTTTCAGCGTTCACTTCACTGATTTATACTTTCTTTTTTCTCTGTCCTTTCTTCAGGGTAATCAGGCGCCACATTAGTTTAGTTAGGTTTGGCCAGTACCCTAACACACACCAGACGCAACTGGGAGTTTAGTATGTGGTGGTTTTCCTCTCTTGGTCCTAAGCAGGCCTGCCTTTCTCTTTCTGTACAGGCCCATCTATAGTTAAAGTATTCTCATCTACTTCTTTCAAACATAAAAGCACTGGGTCCTTTCCTCCATGGATCCAGTGTTCGTAATGCATGCTTGCCTGTTCCGTCACATCTATCACTGTTTGACTGGTGACATTTGGACAGCTGCCTTCTCTAGCTTGTTAGATCAGAAAGGTGTGAGCCTACTGGCAAGAAGCTGCTGTGCAACCGAGGGGGATAAATAAAATCACTGATTGCTGTTGATTTCCAGTCTGTCCCTATTCGTCACTGAAAGGTCCATACAATAAATTATTAGCCAAAGAAACAGCCAGGCATCCTGATCAAATCAGTAATTGTTATGTTGACTTGGTGTGAGAGCCTTAGACTGTCTTGTTGTTTTCACCTGCAGGGAGCATGCAGTTCTGTCATGTCTGCCAACCAATCTTTGGGATTGTCAGCTGTCCTGCTCTGACTTTTTTTTTAACTGGCACCCTTGTGCCTCCCAGCTCTTTGTGGAACACTTGTGCTCTTTGGAGCAGGCTGTTTTATCTGCAGGATGGAAAATAACACCCTGTGGGGAGAAAATGGCCTGCTATTGGCCCTTCCAGTGATTAGAGTCATCCAGTTAATTTGAAGTCTCCTTGGTATGCTCGTTCACATTGTTTGGAATGTATTGGCAGCAAGCACTCTGTATACAGCACGCCGAATATCATCTAGGATTAACATTCTTGTCTTGTGTAACTCAAATGAGACACAAATGTATGATTTATATGCACTTGAGAAATGCACGCATGATCTAAGGTTGGATATGTATAAAATGTCTTGTGAAATTGTCATCCTCTTGTGAAATTGTCATCCTCTTCCTAGTGCAGAGAAGCGAGTTGAAAAGTCGAGTGTTAGGAAGGTCATGCTCATTTTGTTGATCCCCGTAGAAATATAATTTACTTTTGGGAAAAAAAACAAAACTTTTTCCTTTATTAGATGTTTAAATAAAGTTGTTGTTTCTCAGGTATGTACTCTGCTCTGACTTAACAGCTACTAAATTCTCTCAGAATCCATAGTATTTTTTTTTTTTTACTTTTTATGAATGAAGAGCATACCTATAGTTGGCTTTAAAATAACTAAATTGTTCTTTTCATTGCCATTTTTACCAGCATTTTTTTAAAATAAAAAGATGGTTTTTTTCCTGATAGTAGATTTTTATTCTCGCAAGGAATTTCAAAATTTTAACTGAAATGTAATTTAACTGAAATATAGTTGACATACAATATTATGTTGGTTTAATTTGCATTTGATTTGACATTTGCATACATTATGAAATGATCACCACGATAAGTCTAGTAACCATCTGTCCCCACACAAAGTTATTACAGTACTATTGACCATATTCCTTATGCTGTACATTACATCCCAATGGCTTAAAATAAAAAGATCAATACATGTCCATGATTAGAAATTCAAGCAGTACAGAAAGATGGAAATGGTAAAGGAAAGCCCTAGCCCTGTGTCTCTTCTCACTCCCCAGAGGTAATCACTGTGAAATACAGTTGGATGCTGAGATTCTGTCACCAGCAGGTAGGTCTGTTACAGTTCCATTATGAAATTCACAGCTTTGGAAGTTGATGCTGTTTTCCCTCCACACTAAGGAATGCTCCCTGGTCTGTGGTCCAGAGTATGGACAGTGGTGTGGCGCTGTCGTAGGTACCAGGTGGCAAGATGCTTGATGTTAGAGGCAGGGCTTTAGAGTCTCATTGAACCTTTCTCTTTGGTCTTTATATGGTGACATTTCCCCTGATGTTCTTTTCTCTTTTTGAGTTGCTTAAGTAGGAGAGACTGAAAAATTATTCAATTTCCTAAGTGTACAAAATTTCCTCAGGGGTGTAAAACTGACTGTCAGGAGACAAAATGTGCTCTGCTGTATCACCCACTAACTGTATCACATTTGTCTTTGAGTACAGAGCACATTTTCGTATCCTTATCTGTGTGCTTAGGGAAGGAGTTCAGTGGTTATCAGTCACATTTCTCCTTTAGACCACATTTGGAAAAAAAAAAAAAAAAGAAAAGGGGAGGTGGCCATGGCCAAGTTGGTGTGACTGTCCTGCAATAGAAGTGTTAATTTCATGAAGACACTTGAGGCCAGTTACCCCTCTAACCATGAAAGCACTGGGCAAGCCAGGATGTATTGCAGTATGTGCTTCCTGTGTGCTAGGGCAAACTCTCCCACACCTTAGCATTTTCATCCATTGATTGGGAATACTTTTACTTACTATCCATTCCAAGACGTGGGTGAAATAAATATAAAATAGGACCTATAGATCCACAGGAGAAAGTACTTCTTAAACGATAGATATAAAGTAAATGTTATTGATCAAATAAGAGAGAGCTGTTGAACTTTCTTTTATTTCCCTAGCGTTAAAAGTCTTGGAAGCAGGGCTTCCCTGGTGGCGCAGTGGTTGAGAGTCCGCCTGCCGATGC